CTTTGAACAGATTCAAAATCACCAATATATGCATGCAATTTATCAAGACTGCACCCTTTCAATGCTCTTCTACGAAACGCTCGTCTGGCGTACAAAATTGTAACCCTGGTGTCAATAATGAATTTATTAATGAAAGACCAAAACATAATGAATTATAAACCATTGTTTGCTGTCTAATATGTGCAATTGAAAAAGCTTGATGATAGACCAATCGACCTTAATAATGTTTGCTCCTCTATTTCAAAATAACAAACCTTTTAAAAAACGGTTATAAATTGATAGTATATAAATAACAGAACTTAACAAGTAGATAAATGATAGGTCCGTGTTCTTGTTTTTGAGACATAATCCATTGAAAGTTTGGCGGGAAATGAATTTGTCTTGCTTTTTCATTTAACATTGGCACTTTTTCTTTCAACAACTATTAAAAATAACAAGGATTTTATAATATTTTAAAAATGGCTTTTTAAACTATTTGTTATAAAATTATGAAAAGAAAAGTAGGGTTAGTGGGCACATTTTTATTGACGCTATATGGATAAGCCAGAGGATTCCGAATATCTGACATGAAGTCAAAAACAGGAGTAGCGAACAACAAATATGACCTGCCTTAAAAGACATATTTGAAAATGATATTGATGTGTGTAAAATATCTTTTGCGTAATCTTTGGCTCAACAGAAGATGTTAAAAACTTGACTAATTGTACATGTAATAAGTCTATTGCAGGTCGTATATGTAAATTTCGACATATTTATGACATCATTGCGACTTCAAAAGTGTCTTTCGGGACTAAAGTGTCAAGATTCCATCAACATTTTCATTTCATTATAAAATCAGTATAGTCACGAAATATTTCTACATTTTTTCAATTACAATGGTCAAACGGATGGTTCTGAACATACATTCTTTCTTAAAATAAAACATATAAAAACAATCACTTTAAATTAAGAAAACCACATTTGAAATGTGAGTGATATTAAAATGATGACAAAACTAAGCTTTCGTCGATGATGCATTTATTAAGTTTATTTCTTTAAATAATAATAAAAATTGACACACTGAACTTTCTTTAATGTTTTTTTTTTAAACCGAAATTAACAAAGTTTATAAACAGTCAGGGGCATTACTTAAACAAGTAACAATTTTTATAACTCAATCAAGTAATAATTTGAATCTGCTGGAGTTATCTCTCTTTATTTACTGGTTTTAAAAAATTACTTATTTAAGTAATTTTTTTTTAAACTAGAGTTATCGCCCTTTTGGATAAAAATTACCTGTTGAAGTCATTTTTTTGTAAATAAAATAATTGAAACAAGTTATCTTTTTTAGCTGAAATAAACAAATATGTGTGAGCTTTTGGTAATGTGAATAACTTGGATTATTTCCCTTGTTTTCAAATATTTTGATTTTTGTTGTCTATGACTTTGTATATTCATATTATACAGTTGTATATTCAAAAAAGAGAGGTGAAATATACCAACGGAACATTCAAACTCATAAATGTTTGGAAATATAAAACAAACACAATAAATTCTTTAAATTTTAATTTTGATTGAATGAAACAAGGTAGCATTTATTATGATTATACATAAAAAAAAATGTGAACATCTATACCTTTCATTACACAAATCTAAAGTATGTGGCATTGATTGTGGTTTATACATATACTTTTCTATGTCATGCTTTATTTCTGAAAGATTTATTATTTTATTTTTGATCAGAGAACCTTTTATCATCTTATATGACAATTTAATACAAAAATAATGGATTAACATGCATGTGATCACAACTAAGGTTCTTCTGAATTGAACATCCAAACTATCTAATAAGTCTTTGTAAGTTACATAAATGAAAGAAATGTTGATGCTTCATTATTTTGTTAAAATACTTATTTCAAACAAGTAAATTTTGGGGATCTGAAATACATTGTCAACCATCAAAAAATTCCCACTGCTTTAAAAATTAAAATATGACGAACTTCCATTTCTTTATACATTGTAAACAAAGGTACATCATCCCAAATAGAGGCTCTAAAGAGCCTGTGTCGCTCACCTTGGTCTATGTGCATATTAAACAAAGGACACAGGTGGATTCATGACAAAATTGTGTTTTGGTGATGGTGATGTGTTTGTAGATCTTACTTTACTGAACATTCTTGATGCTTACAATTATCTCTATCTATAATGAACTATGCCCAGTAGTTTCAGTGGAAATTATTTTGTAAAAATTTACAAAATTTATGAAAATTGTTAAAAATTTATTATAAAGGGCAATAACTCCTTAAGGGGTCAATTGACCATTTTGGTCATGTGACTTATTTGTAGGTCTTACTTTGCTGTACATTATTGCTCTTTACAGTTTATCTCTATCTATAATAATATTCAAGATAATAACAAAAAGCTGAAAAAATTTCTAAAAATTACCAATTCAGGGGCAGCAACCCAACAACGGGTTGCCTGAATGGTCTGAAAATTTAAGGGAAGATAGATCTTGACCTAATGAACAATTTTGTTTTTGAAAGATTTGCTAGAAATGCTTTGGGTTTAGATATATGAGCCAAAAACTGCATTTTACCCTATGTACTATTATTAGCCATGTCGGCCATCTTGGTTTGAGGGCGGGGTCATCAAACACAATTTTTAAACTACATACCCTAATGATGATTGTTTACAACTTTAGTTAAATTCATCTTAGTAGTTTCAGAGGAGAAGATTTTTGTAAAAGATAACAAAAATTTACGAAAAATTGTTAAAAATTGACTATAAAAGAGCAATAACTCCTTAAGGGGTCAACTGACCATTTTGGTCATGTTTGACTTATTTGTAGAACTTACTTTGCTGAACATTATTGCTGTTTACAGTTTATCTCTATCTATAATAATATTCAAGATAATAACCAAATAAGGCAAAATTTCTTTAAAATTACTAATTCAGGGGCAGCAACCTAACAACGGGTTGTCCGATTCATCTGAAAATTTCAGGGCAGATAGATCTTGAGCTAATAAACATTTTTACCCTGTCAGATTTGCTGTCAATGCTTTGGTTTCAGAGATATAAGCCAAAATCTACATTTTATCCCTATGTTCTATTTTTAGCCATGGCGGCCATCTAGGTTAGTTGGCCGGGTCACCGGACACATTTTTTAAACTAGATACCCTAATGATGATATTGGCCAAGTTTGGTTAAATTTGGCCCAGTAGTTTCAGAGGAAAATATTTTTGTAAAAGTTTACGGACGACGGACGACGGACGCCAAGTGATGAGAAAAGCTCACTTGGCCCTTTGGGCCAGGTGAGCTAAAAATAAGCATAAAGAGTATTATGATTTTTTTTAAATCTAAGGTTTAAAAACAACAAAACAAAGATTACACATTTACTGTTTGTATAAACAGTAATGATCAAAAACTATAATATATCTAAATAACGGTATCAAGATATTTAAAAAAAAAGTTACCTTAAAGAGTTTTTTTTAATTACCAAAACATTTTTTTGGGGGGAAAATTACTCATAGGAGTTATTTAAAATTTCAATAAAAACATGGGCTACATGAACATTGTTGAGGTTGAAATGAGCGTTTTCATTATTTTATACAAAAAAAAAAAATTAGATCTTACTTTGTTTAACATTTTTGCCCTAACAGTTTATCTCTATCTATAATAAGATTAAGAGAAGTATACAGATGTATAACATTAATTTAAAAAAATTACAAAAATATAACTTATTTCAGTTATTTTTTAAAATAATTAATTCCTTCATGATTTCTATAAAAGAACAAGAGGCTCTCAAGAGCCTGAATCGCTCAAATGTAATTTTTTGCTTAAATCTTTCATCAATAATGAAATGCTATGTTCTATTCTTAGCCATGGGGGCCATGTTTCCTGAGGTAACAGAAAATAAAACACAAACGTTATACTAGTTACCCTTTAGAATTATTCAGCTTAAGTTTGATTGATTTTGTTTTGGTAGTTTCAGAAGATTTTTATTTAAGTGGGCAGCAAACATGAGGATAAAATTTTGAAAATTGTCATTAAAGGGCAATAAGTCTTTAAGGGGTCTATTGACAATTTTGGTCATTTACGTTATTTGTAGATCTTACTTTGCTTAACATTTTTGCCCTAACAGTTTATCTCTATCTATTATAATATTCAAGATAATAACCAAAAACTGAAAAATTACCAAATTACCAAATTAGTGGCAGCAACCTAATAATGGGTTGTTCAATTTGTCTTATAATTTCAGGGCTGATAAATCTTGACATAATAAACACTTATAAAAAATTAAAGTTCTTATTCATAGTTTTTAAAAATGAGAGAGAATTGAAAATTGTTTGAAATCAAATCAGAGATTTTGCTCAATAACAAAAAATCCTGACCTGAAATTGTTAAAAGGAAAAACAAATGTTATAACAGAAAACACTACTCACATTTCAACAGTTTTTTAAAAGACCCTGAGATGTATCACAACATATTTTAACTTTCACAAAACGAGAAACAAAGTCCTCCCTTAAGTATCCTACCATTGCCTACATCCAAAATCATAACGAATGACATAAAACACTACTCTAGATTTATACAGCAAATCAAAGGATCCTCAAAATATTAAGATGTGTTAAAAAACTGAGATTGTAGCAAGAAACCATGCACACCCTTTTCTGCATCCACAACAAATGACATTAAAACCTTTTCTATACACAAAATCACTTATCTAGTCAAACATAATAGCTATATATCTAAAAAGTATAAAAACAAGAAACATATTCTATAAAACTTGCATATCATAATGGTCATACATATAAACTACAACAAAAATATGTAAAATCGTACTAAAAACATCGATATCATGCAGATTGTATAAGCAACACATTCAAAACTTGTTCAATGCTCATAGAACAGTGAACTAGGGGCCAAAATTATAACAAATGACATAAATCACTACTTTACATTAACACAAGCAATAAAACAGACCCTGAGAACAGACCCTGAGATTAAACTTTTCTCTTCAGTCAGCTAGCATGTCTAGTAAAAAATAACAGTGTATACATCTTAAAAGTATATAGAAGACACAACATTTTCTATATAACTTGCACCTTCATCATGGTCATACATATAACTACAATAAAAAAAAACATCGAAATAAAAACCTAGATTTCATGGAGATTGTATAAGTAACATTTTCAAAACTTGTTTCAAAAAGAAACCTGCTAAAGTGAAATATCAACATCATAACAAATGACTTAACACCTACTTTACATTCATACCGCAAGTAAAAAGAGGTTGAGATTAAACTTTTCTATAAACATCTTCACTTATCCATTATCAACTTCTATAAACAGCATCACTTATTCATTAACAAAATATAACTATATAACTTTAAAAGTTTACAAAACATCTAACACATTACAGTCATTGCACCATTAAAATAAACCAGCACTGTATACATGGTATAAGCAAGATTAAAATAATTTCAATGGACTGTATTGTTGGCTCAAATTTTCTAACCTGTTACATGATAGGACAGACAAAACCATTTACCAGAAAAGTAACTCAACAGAGTTATATAAAATTTTAAGAAAATCATGGGCTGCATGACATTTGTGGATTTAATGAATTGTATATCTTGTTTGAAACAACATGATCAAAACAAAGTTATTTAATTTAAATATCATTTATCTGTTTATAGAAAATATTTTCACAATTGAACTGTCAAAAAAACTAACCTACTCTCTGCTTAAGTACAAAATACTTGAACTTATAACTGTGAAAATGGATAATAAAATATAATAACATAAAAATCTTCTTCATATTCATACAGCATATAAACATGATAAGGACCCTGAGATTGTATAGCAACATATTTCAACTTTCTCTCTCTAAAAATGAGAAATAACACTCCCACTTAACTATCCTACATCCCAAATCATTGCAAATGACATAAAACCTACTTTATATTCATACAGCAAATTAAAATACCCTGGGATAAAACTTTTCTTTGAACAACATCACCTAAACACAGGGGTAAAAATTGACACTGGGACAGGACAAAAATTTTTTTTGTCTGACTAGATTTTGTCAGCTGTGGGTCTGGCTGACCAGTAAAAAATTGTTGATAAAAAGCTTAAATTCGACCCTGCTTACACATCATGAACATTGACAAAAAAAGCTATATAACTAAAAAGGTACAAAAGACTAAAATAAACTGATAAAGTCAACATGTCTCTTCATTGAGGTTTGGGAAAAACATTTTTATGGACCTCCTTTTCTGTACCTTTTCTGGAGGGTCCATTTGCTTCAAAATCTTAGTTTCTGCTATATTACATATGTCAGGTATTTCTGGCCAATTAAAGAGATTTCCTCTACTCTCTTCAAGCATTTTACTTTGTAGAGGGGTTCATCATCTTCCCCTTTTGCCAATTCTAAAATCTAAAAAAATAAGAATAAAATATAAAGTACATGTAGTATTAATTGCTGGTGCATATTGACATAGCAGTCACAAGTAACACGTGTAGAACTCATTATATATAAATTGAAAATATTTCTTGCAATTGTTAAGCCTTTACCATGTTAATCATGTTTACTGTACGATTAAGCATTGACCAGCATGTGTTTTCTTGAATTATCAACATATTTCTTAAGTGAACTGACTTCTGAGAGTAGCATATATTCAGAAAATTCAGTTCTAATTTCTATTAACACATGAGTACAGGAAAACATCTTTTCTAAGTAGATAACATTTTATCATGCAGAACACCGCATCATAAAAATATGAACTCTTTAGTAGAAGTGGACAAATCCTCAAAAATACTTGCCTCTGCTATGTATTTTCTTTTCTTGCTGCTTTTCACCAGGTCGAATTCAACTAGTAAAAAATCACCTGAAAAGATCAAATTGCAGTTATCTATTACTGTAAAGGGCAAGGCACAAAAACAATTGGTAGCCCAAGAATAAAGATGCTTTTTCAGCTTTGCACCAGTTTATTTTATACCTTTCTAGTTCGAACATTTATTATGTCCTTTAAACATTGTGTGTAAGACTACCCTTTTCTTGCAAATTAGATTCCACTGAAACTTTCACATTTCAGACTTGAAATATATAGGGTATAATACTAATCAACTCCTGCTACAAATACATATAAAAGGTACCAGGTTTATAATTTATATTACGCCAGACGTGGGTTTCGACTATTAAAGACTCATCAGTGACGCTCGAATTGAAAAATATACATACCTATCTTAAATGCATGAGTATTTTTCACCACTTCTATACCATCCTGAAAAACAATGAACTCATTTCTATAATTAATTAGAAGTCTTTTTTCTAAACATGATAAACGTCTTTCAACTAATAAATTTTCAGTAATTGGTAAATATTGGTCATCCTGTTCATGTTTCACTTGATAGTAATGATTTTTCAATCATTAATCAGGCTCAAGAATTTTTGATTAATTTGATAGGAATTCCATGGTATTGTTATTTATGCACATGTTGACCTAATTATGGTAATTGTTAAAAAATTTTTTAATAGCTATTCATTTAATGCCATCTAATGCCTATATTTCACTCATCTCGACAAAAGGAGTCGTGAGTACTTCATGAAAGAATCAGTTCCTATAAAAATTGTCTATTTAAAACATTGGTAATGGTAAAATCATGTTTGGTCAACTCCTTCGAAAACATTTAATACTCACCTTAAAACTGACACATTAAGAATTTTAGTCCATTGATGAAGACCTTCCAGCATTTGCTCGCTTTTCACTTAAAGATTTGACAGTAATGTACAGGTTTTAGTAATTCAAGTAAAACAACAATACAATAAACTGTAAATATGAAGCAGGCAAATCTCAACATTCTGATGAAGTGTGCCTTTTTATGATTTTCTAGTGGTGTTTAAATTAAGATTAAACCATGCTTAGCTATCGGTTACTAGACCTGCTGTCAACCTCGGTGAGGTAGGGAAACTATGGTGTTTGATTATCTTCATGCATTGCATGCATTTATAAGAAAATGAATTAGAAAAAAAAGGAAAAACAAATTTGCTGTTGGTATTTCTGAAATATATACCATGCACATGTTAAATCTACCATCTATAGCAAAAAAACATGAGCAGAAAAACCAACTACCTTGTCTGGGACCTCCATCAACTCAGAGGCCAAAGCTGTTAGAAACGATGATTCACTATTCAACAATAAAATAACCTAATATTAACATGTTTTATAAAATATAGAAATGCCAAATTTATTACATGGGGTTGCTTGAAATGTTTTCAGCTCTGAGGGTATCACCAGCCCAGTAGTCAACACTTTGGTGTTGGCATGAAATATCAATGATGTTTTTTTTTTTTATATATAAATTTACTGTTTGAAAAACATAGAATTATTATAAATACTAAGGATTTTCTACCTCAAGGCACAGGTTACTTTAGCCGTTTTTGGCACAACTTATTGAATTTTTGGTCCTCAATGCTTTTATTTAGCCTTACAATTATTTTGATTTGAGCATCACTGATGAGTCATGTATAGACAAAACACACAGGTGTAGGAAAAATTAAATGCCTGGTAACTCTGATAAGTATTGTATCAATTTAAATTGGAAAATGTATGACAGCTAGAAAGAATGAAATGTTAACTCTTAAGACAATGCAAGACATTCTTCTTTTGGTAAATAAAACGTTCAAAAACACATTCTTGATATTAAAGCTCCTTTCCTTATGCTGAAGCCTGTAATAAACAGGAACAGTTAAATTCGAACACAGTGCAATATTGAAAAAAGTGAAACAACAATAAAATAAATATATATAATGGGTTGATAATTCAATGTCATCTATGTTTGCACAACATTCTCAAGTGAACAGAAAATTTATTAACATATGATCAATAAAATAATTCTATTATTTTACCTCAACAAGGAACTATCCAGAGGGTAAAGTGGACTCATCTCATCTTCACTATTATAACCATAACTGCCATGAAAACTAAAAAAAAGAATAAACTCCATAATTTTGTAAACTTTATAAAAAACAAATTGCTCTCAAGAGCCTGAACATCCTGAATCTCTCGCCTGTAGGTTTTTGCTTAAATCTTTCATCAATGATTATTTTTGCTTTTCAATGTATATAAATATACATACAAATGCCATTTAAGTGTTCTTTGTACATGTATCTGTCATATTTTCTTCTATGTTCTATTTTAGCCATACATGCCATGGTCTTTATTTTTAGCAGTTTTTGAGATATAAGCCTAAAACTGCTTTTTACATCTTTGCCATGGTGGCCATAGTTTTGGACTTAACAGAAAATAAAACATAAACTTTAAAGATACCCTCTAGATCCTTCAGCTTAAGTTTGGTTTGAATTGGTTGAGTTGTTTCAGAAGAGAAGATCTTTGAAATAGTTTACACCAGATGACGGACCATGACGACAAACGCCAAGTAATGGCAAGAGCTCACATTTCCTTTCAGGGAAAGGTGAGCTAAAAATCAATTCAAGCAGAAAATAAACAGCCTGATTTAAGGAAAAATAATAAATGAAAATTTGGATTAAGATAACAAAGACAACCGCTATATCAAAAAAATGGTCATTACTGTTTTATTGATTTACAAACCTATCATCTATAACCATGTCCTCATCTTCAAAAAGTTTTTTTTGACATTCTGGTCTACAAAAAATAAGTATTAACATGTAGTATTGTACTAAAAGCATTTTATCCTGCCAGCAACCTTTCTACTATACAAATAAAGGTGAACAAATAACAGAAGCATTGAACATATACTGGTATCAGTTTTCTGTTGCAAGCTGTTATGTTAAAGCTCAGTTCAATCTAGATTCCACATTTAATACATATGTATGCCGTTTCAACTTTTATTAAATGAACAATATCAACTTTTATGTGTAAATTGTAAGATACAAACAAAGGATAATAAGAATAATAACTGATATAAGTTACATTCTAAGCCAATTTTTAACATAACTTATATAGGTAATTTTAAAAGTTACTTTTTAAGTAATGCTCTTTTTCTTGTCAATCAGATTTATTTAAAGATTGATCTTAATCTTCACTTTCATCTCTCAATACCAGATATTGATTAATTAATATTGATTTGATTAATTGCATTTTATCAGCCAGTGGTTACCTAAACAAGTTATATATTTTTTAAATTACTTAAACAGGTAATTTTTAAAAAAAGTTACTCTCAAGAGAATAATATTAAATTTCAATTGAAACAAAGGTTACAGAAACAGTGATGAGTTTTAAAAAAAAAAGAGTCTACATTCTTCTAAAACATAAATAAAGAGACCATTGTTTTGAAGACAACCTTTAATCAATCTACACATCAGTGTGCTTCTTTCTTAAAAGGTTTAAATCATTTCCCCAATACCAGATATTTATTAATTGCATTTAAGTATCACAACTTACCCAGATTCATTTAAAGGATGCTGCTCTTCATCTTCTTTGTTATCATTGTCATGTGGTCTAAAATTAAATATATGCAATTACTCCACTTTCCTTCAAAATGTAGTCATTTAATGAATTCTTTATTTTCCTTCACCGTACAAATATTGTTAAGTACTTGTAAATTATTTGATGTTAACTATGAGCAGGATGAAGTCAACATTTTAATCAGCCAGTGGTTACCTAAACAAGTAATATTTTATTTTAATTACCTAAACAGGTATATTTAGGGAGACGACTTCATAAGTTTGTTTTAACTTGGGTCGCATCCCTTTTGTATATTAAACAAATAAAATATGTTTAAACTGGGGCACTAGCTGTCAAATGTATGTTCACCGATTTGACTGAAACTCTCATAATAAAATTTACTAGGAGTACCTCGATCAACACATGATCAAGTCAACATTTTTCATCAGCCAAGGGTTACCTAAACAAGTTATATATTTTTCTAATTACCTAAACAGGTAATTTTTAAATGTGCTTCTTTCTTAAAAGGTTTAAATCATTTCCCCAATACCAGATATTAATTAATTGCATTTAAGTATCACGACCTACCTCGATTCCTTTAAAGGATGCTGCTCTTCATCTTCTTTGTCATCATTGTCATGTGGTCTAAAATTAAATATATGCAATTACTCCACTTTCCTTCAAAATAAAGTCATTTAATAAATTCTTTATTTTCCTTCACCGTACAAATATTGTTAAGTACTTGTAAATTATTTGATGTTAACTATGAGTAGGATGAAGTTAACATTTTAATCAGCCAGTGGTTACCTAAACAAGTTTTTTTTTTTTAATTACCTAAACAGGTATTTTTTGGGAGACGACTTCATAAGTTTGTTTTAACTTGTGTCTCATCACTTTTAATTTGTATATTAAACAAATAAAATATGTTTAAACTGGGGCACTAGCTGTCAAATGTATGTTCACTGATTTAACTGAAACTCTCATAATAAAATTTACTACGAGGACCTCGATCAACACATGATCAAGTCAACATTTTAATCAGCCAAGGGTTACCTAAACAAGTTATATATTTTTCTAATTACCTAAACAGGTAATTTTTAAATGTGCTTCTTTCTTAAAAGGTTTAAATCAATTACCCAATACCAGATATTTATTAATAGCATTTAAGTATCATGACTTACCCGGATTCATTTAAAGGATGCTGCTCTTCATCTTCTTTGTCATCATTGTCATGTGGTCTAAAATTAAATATATGCAATTACTACACTTTCCTTCAAAATGTAGTCATTTAATAAATTCTTTATTTTCCTTCACCGTACAAATATTGTTAAGTACTTGTTAATTATTTGATGTTAACTATGGGCAGGATGAAATCAACATTTTAATCAGCAGTGGTTACCTAAACAAATTTTATTCTTTTTTAATTACCTAAACAGGTATTTTTTGGGAGACTACTTCATAAGTTTGTTTTAACTTGGGTCGCATCCCTTTTGTATATTAAACAAATAAAATATGTTTAAACTGGGGCACTAGCTGTCAAATGTATGTTCACCGATTTGACTGAAACTCTCATAATAAAATTTACTATAAGGACCTTGATCAACACATGATCAAGTCAACATTTTAATCAGCCAAGGGTTACCTAAACAAGTAATATATTTTCTAATTACCTAAACAGGTAATTTTTAAATGTGCTTCTTTCTTAAAAGGTTTAAATCATTTCCCCAATACCAGATATTTATTAATTGCATTTAAGTATCACAACTTACCCTGATTCATTTAAAGGATGCTGCTCTTCATCTTCTTTGTTATCATTGTCATGTGGTCTAAAATTAAATATATGCAATTACTCCACTTTCCTTCAAAATGTAGTCATTTAATGAATTCTTTATTTTCCTTCACCGTACAAATATTGTTAAGTACTTGTAAATTATTTGATGTTAACTATGAGCAGGATGAAGTCAACATTTTAATCAGCCAGTGGTTACCTAAACAAGTTATATTTTATGTTAAGTACCTAAACAGGTATTTTTTGGGAGACGACTTCATAAGTTTGTTTTAACTTGGGTCGCATCCCTTTTGTATATTAAACAAATAAAATATGTTTAAACTGGGGCACTAGCTGTCAAATGTATGTTCACCGATTTGACTGAAACTCTCATAATAAAATTTACTAGGAGTCCCTCGATCAACACATGATCAAGTCAACATTTTTCATCAGCCAAGGGTTACCTAAACAAGTTATATATTTTTCTAATTACCTAAACAGGTAATTTTTAAATGTGCTTCTTTCTTAAAAGGTTTAAATCATTTCCCCAATACCAGATATTTATTAATTGCATTTAAGTATCACGACTTACCCTGATTCATTTAAAGGATGCTGCTCTTCATCTTCTTTGTTATCATTGTCATGTGGTCTAAAATTAAATATATGCAATTACTCCACTTTCCTTCAAAATGTAGTCATTTAATGAATTCTTTATTTTCCTTCACCGTACAAATATTGTTAAGTACTTGTAAATTATTTGATGTTAACTATGAGCAGGATGAAGTCAACATTTTAATCAGCCAGTGGTTACCTAAACAAGTAATATTTTATTTTAATTACCTAAACAGGTATATTTAGGGAGACGACTCCATAAGTTTGTTTTAACTTGGGTCGCATCCCTTTTGTATATTAAACAAATAAAATATGTTTAAACTGGGGCACTAGCTGTCAAATGTATGTTCACCGATTTGACTGAAACTCTCATAATAAAATTTACTAGGAGTACCTCGATCAACACATGATCAAGTCAACATTTTTCATCAGCCAAGGGTTACCTAAACAAGTTATATATTTTTCTAATTACCTAAACAGGTAATTTTTAAATGTGCTTCTTTCTTAAAAGGTTTAAATCATTTCCCCAATACCAGATATTAATTAATTGCATTTAAGTATCACGACCTACCTCGATTCCTTTAAAGGATGCTGCTCTTCATCTTCTTTGTCATCATTGTCATGTGGTCTAAAATTAAATACATGCAATTACTCCACTTTCCTTCAAAATGAAGTCATTTAATAAATTCTTTATTTTCCTTCACCGTACAAATATTGTTAAGTACTTGTAAATTATTTGATGTTAACTATGAGTAGGATGAAGTTAACATTTTAATCAGCCAGTGGTTACCTAAACAAGTTTTTTTTTGTAATTACCTAAACAGGTATTTTTTGGGAGACGACTTCATAAGTTTGTTTTAACTTGTGTCTCATCACTTTTAATTTGTATATTAAACAAATAAAATATGTTTAAACTGGGGCACTAGCTGTCAAATGTATGTTCACTGATTTAACTGAAACTCTCATAATAAAATTTACTACGAGGACCTCGATCAACACATGATCAAGTCAACATTTTAATCAGCCAAGGGTTACCTAAACAAGTTATATATTTTTCTAATTACCTAAACAGGTAATTTTTAAATGTGCTTCTTTCTTAAAAGGTTTAAATCAAATACCCAATACCAGATATTTATTAATAGCATTTAAGTATCATGACTTACCCGGATTCATTTAAAGGATGCTGCTCTTCATCTTCTTTGTCATCATTGTCATGTGGTCTAAAATTAAATATATGCAATTACTACACTTTCCTTCAAAATGTAGTCATTTAATAAATTCTTTATTTTCCTTCACCGTACAAATATTGTTAAGTACTTGTTAATTATTTGATGTTAACTATGGGCAGGATGAAATCAACATTTTAATCAGCAGTGGTTACCTAAACAAATTTTATTCTTTTTTAATTACCTAAACAGGTATTTTTTAAATGTGCTTCTTTCTTAAAAGGTTTAAATCATTTCCCCAATACCAGATATTTATTAATTGCATTTAAGTATCACAACTTACCCTGATTCATTTAAAGGATGCTGCTCTTCATCTTCTTTGTTATCATTGTCATGTGGTCTAAAATTAAATATATGCAATTACTCCACTTTCCTTCAAAATGTAGTCATTTAATGAATTCTTTATTTTCCTTCACCGTACAAATATTGTTAAGTACTTGTAAATTATTTGATGTTAACTATGAGCAGGATGAAGTCAACATTTTAATCAGCCAGTGGTTACCTAAACAAGTTATATTTTATTTTAAGTACCTAAACAGGTATTTTTTGGGAGACGACTTCATAAGTTTGTTTTAACTTGGGTCGCATCCCTTTTGTATATTAAACAAATAAAATATGTTTAAACTGGGGCACTAGCTGTCAAATGTATGTTCACCGATTTGACTGAAACTCTCATAATAAAATTTACTAGGAGTCCCTCGATCAACACATGATCAAGTCAACATTTTTCATCAGCCAAGGGTTACCTAAACAAGTTATATATTTTTCTAATTACCTAAACAGGTAATTTTTAAATGTGCTTCTTTCTTAAAAGGTTTAAATCATTTCCCCAATACCAGATATTTATTAATTGCATTTAAGTATCACGACTTACCCTGATTCATTTAAAGGATGCTGCTCTCCATCTTCTTTGTCATCATTGTCATGTGGTCTAAAATTAAATATATGCAATTACTCCACTTTCCTTCAAAATGAAGTCATTTAATAAATTCTTTATTTTCCTTCACCGTACAAATATTGTTAAGTTCTTGTAAATTATTTGATGTTAACTATGAGCAGGATGAAGTCAACATTTTAATCAGCCAGTGGTTACCTAAACAAGTTATATTTTTTTTTAATTACCTGAACAGGTATTTTTTGGGAGACAACTTCATAAGTTTATTTTAACTTGGGTCGCATCCCTTTTGTATATCAAACAAATAAAATATGTTTCAACTGGGGCACTAGCTGTCAAATTCATGTTCACCGATTTGACTGAAACTCTCATAATAAAATTTACTACGAGGACCTCAATCAACACATGATCAAGTCAACATTTTTATCAGCCAAGGGTGCCCTAAACAAGTCATATATTTGTTTAATTACCTAAACAGGTAATTTTTTAGAAAAGTTACTCTCAAGAGAATAATTTTAAATTTCAATGGAAACAAAGGTTACAGAAACAGTGATGAGTTTAAAAAAAAAAGTCTTTACATTCTTTTAAAACATAAATAAAGTGACCATTGTTTTGAAGTCAACCTTTAATCAATCTACACTTCAAAGTGCTTCTTTTTTAAAAGGTTTAAATCATTTCCCCAATACCAGATATTTATTAATTGCATTTAAGTATCACGACTTACCCCGATTCATTTAAAGGATGCTGCTCTTCATCTTCTTTATCATCATTGTCATGATTGTCATGTGGTCTAAAATTAAATATATGCAATTACTACACTTTCCTTCAAAATGAAGTCATTTAATAAATTCTTTATTTTCCTTCACCGTACAAATATTGTTAAGTACTTGTAAATTATTTGATGTTAACTATGAGCAGGATGAAGTCAACATTTTAATCAGCCAGTGGTTACCTAAACAAGTTATATTTTATTTTAATTACCTAAACAGGTATTTTCTTATGGAGACGACTTCATAAATTTGTTTTAACTTGGGTCGCATCCCTTTTGTATATTAAACAAATAAAATATGTTTAGACTGGGGCACTAGCTGTCAAATTCATGTTCACCGATTTGACTGAAACTCTCATGATAAAATTTACTACGAGGACCTCAATCAACACATGATCAAGTCAACATTTTTATCAGCCATGGGTTACCTAAACAAGTCATATATTTGTTTAATTACCTAAACAGGTAATTTTTAAAGTTACTCTCAAGAGATTAATATTAAATTTAAATGGAAACAAAGGTTACAGAAACAGTGATGAGTTTAAAAAAAAAAGTCTTTACATTCTTTTAAAACATAAATAAAGTGACCATTGTTTTGAAGACAACCTTTAATCAATCTACACTTCAATGTGCTTCTATTTTCATTTTTGTTAGATGTTTCTTTTGTATTAGAAACATAAAAACAATACTTACGATTCACATCGTCTTTTTTTCCATTTTCTCCTACTTCCATTTGTTGGAGCACCACTTCCTCTATTAAATCTACAAATGTAATACTTTTTACTTTTGCATTTAAATAATTTACGCTCAAAGTTTAATAAAAACAATGGATAAAACATTAGTCCTTAATCATGTTAATTTGGAATGTCCCTTATTGTTTATAAAAAAAGAAGTTCATGTTATAATAAAATGACAAGTTGCTTACATCTATACTTTTGCAGATCATAGCACTTTAGCATACAGAGGCATTGAACTTCAGCAAAGGCCACACCCTTTAGTATGACCATAAAATTTAAGCGTCCCAATCGAACTAAAAAAAAAGAAGAGTCCTACATTTTTATATCTACCTTCAAGATTTGAGCTAAAAAGGAGAAAATTGATTAATTGTGTGATTTTTCAAGGTCTAGGGATCATAAATCTGCAAAATATCATCAAACCAGAACAAAATTTAAACTTGATCTGAAACTTGTCAGACATGGGTAACCTATAAAACCAAATATCAATATAATATCTTTAAGTGTGACGAAAAATCTGTAACTTGTCATGGTTAACCTATAAACCAAAAAGTCCAAGGACCATAATGGCAAAGAATCATCCGACGGGAACAAAATTTAAACTTGATCTGTAACTTGTCATGGTTAAACTATATGCCAAATATTATAAGTTATATGGTTTGCTACTGACCACCTACGGATCCATAGAGGGTTAGTAAAATCCATAGGGGGTGAGGCCGAAGGCCGAATCCCTTATGGATTTTATTCACCCTCTATGGTCCGTAGGGGGTCAGTAGTGAACCGTATAACGAATTTATCGCACATGGGACTTTTTCTGCAGCGTTTTGTAGAAAAATAAACAATAAAATACAACAACATCAATAGACGACGTCACCATTAACTGTTGACGTGACGTCATGAACCCACTATGAAATTTACTAACCCCCTACGGATCCATAGGGGGTCATCACGTGACGGCGTTAAACCAATCACAACGTAATAATTTACCCGCGGTGCGATAAGAAGTCAATATCTTCAAGCATGATGAAACAAGAATGTGTCCATAGTGCACAGATGCCCACTTGCACTATCATATTGTTCAGTGGACTGTGAAATGGGGGTCAAAACTCTAATTTGGCATTAAAACTAGAAATATCATATCATAGGAAACATGTATACTAAGTTTCAAGTTGATTGGACCTCAACTTCATCAAAAACTACCTTGACCAAAAAATTTAACCTGACACGGGACAGACAGACGGACGAAAATATTATTGTTATCACACATTATCTTAACAAGACTCTAAACTTCAAAAGCTACAAATATAGGATAACCTAAAAAGACTTTATTAGTATATGGAAAGTACATTATAAATTGTCATTCAAAGAAACAAAATGTTTTTAAAAATCCGCAAAGTTTTCTTCTAATGTGAATCAACTATAAACACGTTTGAATAAAATTGAATCGGAAAACATGTTACCAAAAACTCATGATAAAACCCGGCTATTTTTGGCTCAGTGGTGTACATTTCAGCATTTGTTTTTTTAAACTATCTGACGACGTAGTAAAGGCATGGCTGGGAGAATTTACTTTCTATTGAAATTATAATAGGGTTTTTTGGACATTAGAGAAACAGATTCTTACATTGTTAGCAGTGGATTATCGTGTTTCTCCAATCTTGATAGTTAAATTATTGAATTTTAAATCCTCGCAGAGGCTCGGACTTGAAATTCCATATTTAACTATCTCTATTGGAGAAACACGATAATCCACCGCTAACAATGAAAGAATCTATATTTCCTTAATACTTTCTTTAAAAACATAGACATGATTTATAAATACAATGAAGAATTGATATTAATAGTTGTAATACAAAGATCCAGTTGTTTTTATAAGGGCTCACTGCATGTCATAGGGGCCCTGCTCTAATCATGCTTAAGTGCATCCCTATATAATAAAACCTAATTGTCTCAGGTAAATTTTTCCTGCTACTGGTCTTGGTTTAGCATATTAAAGGGTACAATGTAGTAAAAATATTACTTCTTTAAGTCATCTCTGTGATCATTAAAAAATCTTTGAAAAAACTCATAATTAATATACATTGTAATATAAGAAAAATATGTTATTAATTAATATTGTTTTGGGTTATAAATTGTAAAAAACTTGAAAATGGTAAAGTTCTAACCAGTGAATCATAATTTCAGGAAATTGATATTTAATACTACAATTATCAGATAAATCTTTGACCTACAATGTACAAGCCTGTAGTATATCAGCTTGATTAATTGTTATTCTTCATGGTAAAAATGTCCAGATGTTTGACAAAATCTGTTTATGCTAGTAAAATCTGTTGGAATTTGGAAACCTCTGTATTAGATACACCACAAGGGTGACAACCTGAGAAGGTGTATCTAATTTACACCCCAAGATATATATATTGCTTTATGTTAAATTATCTTTAATTTAGGAGGGGGTCTTTCATGAATTCTACCTTATTTATTAGATACACCTTTTACAACCCCAGATATTCATGATATTATATATGCATGTATATATATATGTAAAATGAAAAATATAACTATTTATTTATTTATTTTTTTTTGGGGGGGGGGGGGGGGGGGGGGGGTCTTACCACAATTTTCACTTAATTTTGGAAAGCATGAAAAATGCATGGTATCCAGTTTTCATACCTGCCACATTTCACAATTTAGGCAACAACCATTTTCTTATCAGGGGTGGGGTGGGGTGGGGGGGGGGGGGGGGTGGGGGGGCAGTGGGTATGGCTGGGATTTTTTTTGTAGATTAATTAGGCCGTAAGTTTTCTGGTTTGAATTGTTTTACATTTGTCCTTTTGGGGCCTTTTATAGCTGACTATGCGGTATGGGCTTTGCTCATTGTTGAAGGCTGTACGGTGACCTAAAGTTGTTAATTTCTGTGTCATTTGGTCTCTTGTGAATAGTTGTCTCATTGGTAATCACACCACATCTTCTTTTTTTATACATATTGAATATGGTAGCTAGCAAACAACCAACCATAGAAATGCAAACTTTCAATTACATTTTGTACCTCCAAACAGGAGGGATCAATATATCAATACACTGAGGTTTAGGGTTTAAAATTGGGTTTAATACTGCACATCAGTAAAATCTGCATTATATCTTTGAATATATTCTTTTAAAATATTTCATTTGATACAAAATAACTTAGAATAGTAATTTTAATAATCACTAGAGCTTCAACTTTTAAAAAAATGTGTTTCACCGAGCGCAGCTGTATACGACCATAGAGGTCCAATCCTGAACAGTAAGGATAAAAATGGACACAATATTCAAGCTTGATACAGGTCCGAATTTGGATTTTAATTAAATATTTGACACATTATAGGTTTCTGTCACAGAATAAATGTAGTCGAAGAACTTAAAATTGGTTAAATGATTTGAATTTATTTTCAATTGAAGATTTCATGCTGTTGTGCAATACAATGTGCTGTTGTGCAATACTTAGTAAATCTGTTTTTAGGCTATACACAAAGAAATAGCAAGATAAAAAAGTGTACTATCTGAATATAGTCATGATAGTCAGAAGTGCAAATTCTAGCTTTTTTGACCTAGATTAATTTAATTCTGAAATTTGACAGCAATTCACCAAACTACATAACAACCTGTGATTCAGTAAGATCAATATATTACCAAGGTAGCTGTATAGTTTGATGAAAATCCAAGTTGATTTGAAAAAGTAATTAAAAAATTTAAAGTGTACTATCTAAATTTTGTCCGAACTGCAAATTCTAGCTTTTTTTACCAAGATGAATTTAATTCTGAAATTTGACAGCAATACACCAAACTACATAATGACCTGTGATTCAGTAAGATCAATATATTACCAAGGTAGCTGTATAGTTTGATGAATATCCAAGTTGATTTGAAAAAGTTATTGAAAAATTTAAAGTGTACTATCTAAATTTTGTCCGAACTGCAAATTCTAGCTTTTTTTACCAAGATTAATTTAATTCTGAAATTTGACAGCAATACACCAAACTACATAACGACCTGTGATTCAGTAAGATCCACATATTACCAAGGTAGCTGTATAGTTTGATGAATATCCAAGTTGATTTGAAAAAGTTATTGAAAAATTTAAAGTGTACTATCTAAATTTTGTCCGAACTGCAAATTCTAGCTTTTTTTACCAAGATTAATTTAATTCTGAAATTTGACAGCAATACACCAAACTACATAACGACCTGTGATTCAGTAAGATCCACATATTACCAAGGTAGCTGTATAGTTTGATGAAAATCCAAGTTGATTTGAAAAAGTTATTAAAAAATTTAAAGTGTACTAACTAAATTTTGTCTGAACTGCAAATTCTAGCTTTTTTTACCAAGATTAATTTAATTCTGAAATTTGACAGCAATACACCAAACTACATAATGACCTGTGATTCAGTAAGATCAATATATTACCAAGGTAGCTGTATAGTTTGATGAAAATCCAAGTTGATTTGAAAAAGTTATTAAAAAATTTAAAGTGTACTATCTGAATATAGTCCGAACTGCAAATTCTAGCTTTTTTGACCTAGATTAATTTAATCCTTTAATTTGACAGCAATACACCAAACTACATAACGACCTGTGATTCAGTAAGATCAATATATTACCAAGTTAGCTGTATAGTTTGATGAAAATCCAAGTTGATTTGAAAAAGTTATAAACAGAATTAAGTGTACTATCTGAATATAGTCCGAACTGAAAATTCTAGTTTTTTTGACCTAGATTAATTTAATCCTTTAATTTGACAGCAATACATCAAACTACATAATGACCTGTGATTCAGTAAGATCAATATATTACCAAGGTAGCTGTATAGTTTGATGAAAATCCAAGTTGATTTGAACAAGTTATAAAAAAAATTAAAGTGTACTATCTGAATTTTGTCTGAACTGCAAATCCTAGCTTTTTTGACCTAGATTAATTTAATCCTTAAATTTGACAGCAATACACCAAACTACATAACGACCTGTGATTCAGTAAGATCAATATATTACCA